ATCTAACTAATTATTTTGGATATTGTCATTTATATTTCAAAATTGAATCACTTTTGTCCTAAAATAAGCAAAGGAATAGCTTTTCTCTTTTTACTTATTCGAATAATTTATAGCATATTTTAAGATATATATATGGGCATCTACAATAACACGTATACCCAGTTGAGCTAAAGTAAAATTAAAAAACACCAAGTTTTGTGAGGTCCTTCCTATCTCATTTATTTTACAGAACATTTTCTATTCACATAAATCATATTTAATCCGAATTTATAATAAAATTCGTTTTGAAATCTAAAATTTCTTAATTTCCAAATTGATTTAAATGTAACAATAATTTAAAATGTATAAGCAGGTATATATATATATATATATATATATATATATATATATACATTGCCATTTGTTTAAAAACAATTATGAATTAGATCTTAAATTCTCAATATCTAAGTGTACCTACTTCGTTCATTAACCAAAAAAAAAACAAATATCTCTATGAAAAAAATTTCTTATATCATTTTTCAATTTCACTAGAGTCCAACTTTTATTTCATAAAAAATACATACATACATAATAAATAATAATATATTTAATTATACAACGGCATACAAAAACTTGTACACAATATGTAAGTATCTTTATTTTATAGTCATAAACTATATTAAATATATACATACATATTATTTAATAATATTATGGTATAATGAAAAGACCGATAAAGTTTTTATTTGTTTGATAATAATGAAAGATAACGTCAAAACAAATATTCGCAACAGGAAGAAGTTTTTTTTTTCTTCTCAATCTTGTTATAGAAAAATTATTGTTAACTATATTTAGTTATAGTTAGTTTATAATTTTTTAAGAAATAATTTGAATAAACAATGAATTTTTATTTGATTTCCAATAAATATGTAGTTATACTCCACCTAGAGTTATATTAGTTAAATATTGGAAATAATTTTTTATAAAAAATTATAGAGAAATTAAATAATTTTTTGTAATTATCTAGGTAGATTGGTACGTATATGTATGTATATATATCTAGCAACTTTAGAATAATTATGTTTTCTATAAGATTAAATATATTTTCAAATACAATATACGTACACCTATTTCTAATTTTACGCAATATTTTGAAAAAATTTATTTCGCTATATTTTGGCATTTGTATTTCTAATCAGTAAAGATAATTAAATCTGAAATATTGTGAATTACTATTATAATAATATAAGATGGGAAACTACTATACTTATTGAAGTAACTTAAAAAAAAGTAAGGTTGCGCCTTCAATTACAATAAAATAATATTTAACAACATAATAAATAAACTTAACTACATGATAAAATGCAGAAAAAAAGTGCAATTTTAAAACCAATAATAACTGCATTTATAATTTTTTTATAATTAGAAATTATTTTTCATTACCTAGAGGAATTAGGAATCTAATAATCGGTAGTTAAATAGTAACTAAATTTAAAAAATTTTAAAAAAATTAATTATAAAAGAATTGTGTTTAAAGAATTCGAAAAATTTTGAACTAGGTGTACTTTTCTACTTAAAAAATATTAAAAAAATTATTGTATTCAACATACAATATATACAAATACTATATCCTATGTATTGTACGTATTTTCTATTTGATTAAAATAAATATTTTTATTTTATATACAAACACAAATGTAAATAATAAGCAACAATTATTATTTAAAAAAAAAAAAAACAAAATTATATTTTGACACATGAATTATTACACAAATACATACTTAAAATTGTTTAATAAATTAATATATACATACAAATAAATATTCAAGTACTATATATTACATAAGAACTATATTATAATGTCGAGACTACATATTATTTATATATTATGTAGATATAGTATGCACTATTTGCCTTAGGTAGATATTTTATATCTATAGAATATATGTATGAACTTTATGTACATAAAAATTCAATTATTTATATATATATTCTTGCATATTATATATGTATATATGCAAACCGAAAATTAATACAATATGTTTCTGAATTTCATATAATATGTATGTTTATAGACATGTATATTTGAAACAATTTTTACTTTAAAACATAAACTTACGTATATTGCCGATTTGAATCTATTAAAACACCAAAATATCTATGTATGTACATTTAAATATATATGTTCAGACATATAACTATGTAATATGTGTACAAATTACACACTTAATTCATAATTTTATGGAATATTAAAAATACTCAGGGGTAAATATAATTTTAAATTTTAATAAAAATTTCAAATAGCACATTTTCCTATTTAGAAAATTATAAGACGTATTAAAAAATTCCCTCTATTTTACTTGTAGGCATACATATGTACATAAGTAAATTTTAATATTAATGAAATTCATAGTTCATATTATTATTCTTTTAAAAATATTTTATTAAAAAATTTATTTCGCATAAAAAAAACAAGCAGAATATTCAAAGATATCAGAATATCTAATCATACATATGTTTGCATTTACATATGTACGTACATACTTATGAATACAATATAATATATAATTACAAAAATATTTCATATACTAGCATTGTATATATGTATATATATAAATGTATGTAAAACAATCTATACATACATATTATAAAATAATTCTTTTTATGAAATATAAACATTCATTTATTTACTATTAAAAAATATGATTACTTATTTTTATTTACATACATATATAACTGTATTATATAAAAATAATGACATTTCTTATTATATATATATATATATATAACTAGTTATTATCTATCTTTATATGAAAAAAAAAAATACAAAAAAAAAATAAAAACAAGAAAAATTGGAAAATAAATAAATTCCAATGTACAAATACAATAAGAATGACGAGCATCCATTTATATAGATATTAAGGCTATCCTTTTTTTACCAAACCTTTTAAATTTGGGATAATTTTAGGTTGTTTAAAAGAAACGACTCTATATGTAATTTTGAGAATACACAAACACAATGTTATTATTATTTTTTTTTGTTACCATATTATATACATATGTTTATATACATAATATAGTTGTTAGATAGGTAGGTATTGCTATAGAGATTTTATTTTATGTTGCACACCATTTACAATTTTTATAATTCTATTTCTTTCAATCATATATATGTATGTATGTATGTATATATTTTGTGATATAGTATTTATCTAAAATAATATTATTAAAAATTTGTATATATATATGTATATCCGTTTGTAAATATAGTATATAATTATAAGTATATTTGTTTTATTTAAAAAAAAAACCTTATGACGCGAAAACGCGACATATACGCGAAAAATATTCACCTTTTTATTTATATTTTTTTTTATTCTTCACTAAAAATTATTTTATTAGACATACATACATCTATTATTTCATATGCATATATATATATGTACATATGTATGTATGCATCCAAATATATTTAATATTAAATATTTTTACAAATTTTTTGAGATTATTTTTAAGAAAATTTTTAAACTTTTTATTTTATTTTTTTTTTTTCTGAAATATTTACACTTCACACAAATTATTTAATTATTTTTAATAGTTTTACGTTTTTTTTTGTTTATGTGAAATTTATTTAAGAGGAAGAAAATAAAATTATGAAAACGAAAACGAAAAAAAAAAAATTTCCGAAAATAAAATTTTGAAAAAAAAAATTTATATTAAAAATATTTTGTAATTGAATTATACATGTGTATGTGTAAATGTATGATTTTTATTCAAAAAAAAAAATAACAAGCGCGAGCGTACAACCCTACACGACCGAAACAAATTTCTCATTGATACTGAAATCAAATAATATAAATAACTGTAAAAAATATACTCAAAAAATTAAAAAAATATTTTCATATTATTTTTTATTTTTCTTTATTTTTGTTTTTTTTTTTTTCTGCTATACAAGATGGAATTTTATATTATAAAAGCAATAAAAATTATCTTATTAGAATTATAATTGGTATGAAATAGATGAATATATAATTCTATTTCAAATGGAAAAGGAAAGATTTATATTTATTTATATTTTTGTTTATTTATAATATTGGAATAATGACAGCTGTTGGAAGTAATCCACATAAAATCCATACACTCTTAGTATATAAATTTGAATATTTATTAATTTTCTAAAAAAAATTAATTTAAATTGATTGTGTTTTTGATTTTAAATATAAATGTTAAATTTGAATTACAAAATCAGGTTGATTCGTTGAAATTTAATTAGTGGGAATAAGACGCTGGGGTGCAATTTTTAATTCTAGCGATTACTGTATAACTGTAAATTCCTTGTATGCAATTGTGCAGTAATCAAAAAAAATTAAATGCACCTAAATACAAAATGTAAAAAATTACGAGCTGTTTAATTGCTTGATATAATCTAATTGCTTAATATGAGGACTATTAACTACATATTTATGCTCTTTAAACTTTAGATTTAAGGTCTTTTTCCGATTTCTGAATGGATAAGAAAACGACAAAGCTTAAATAAATAAAATTATTCAGTTTTATTTGTTCAAGATTTTAAAATGTGGATATATTGGTTTAAATATTGGAATTAATTCGTTTCTTGATAATTTATTAATTTGTTTTAACTCTAAAATAAACTTAGCGAATTTTTTCATTAAATATTTTATTTGATATTTTTTTGACAAGAACAGCATATTATTATGATAGTGCAGTATATTGAATAATAATAAAATTGACGTTTAGAAAAAATCTCCGCCATTGTAATTCGATTTGATTTAAATATTTGAGAGCGAGGAAAAAAATGTTTACTAAAAATAATGATAACGTCAAAATTTGAAATTTTCATGCGAACTAAAATCAGCTGTCGTGAAACTAATGGATCAATGTAGGTAACAAGACCTTCAATGAAAAACGTAAATTTGAATACTATACACAAAATTTCAATCAATAAATTTTCTGGAAAATATTTCGAGAGTTCGCTATAAAATTTGACGTTTATTAGTTGAGCTCGCGATTTTTTTCAAGCACTTAAAGTTGCAAAAATAAAATATTTTTATTTAAGTTTTTAATAGATATAAATTTATAAAAAATTTATAATTAAGCTAAATTAAAAATGATGCTTCTTCGGTTTGGGAGAATAAATAGTTTAAGGTAGTATTTTTATACATCTCTGTTTTAAATTTGGACGGAATAAAATATTTGATTTCGTAAGATTTATTGATTTATCGATTTTTAACAAAATAATTTCAATTTAGGTCAACTTCATTCAAGAAAACGCAAATTTTGCAATTTTGTGATGATAAAAAAATTTCTGAAAATGAAAATGCTGAAAAAAAAGGAGAAAAGAAAACCGGGGAGGTTAAAGAAGAATCATCGGCTAGTAAATTAAACAGATTACTTGCAAGCATGTCTACAGATGATAATACAACATTAACAAAAAAAGTGGAAATATCAAAACCGGGTGCTCGCTTGAAGCCAAAGAAAACAGTAAAGAAAGATGATAGTATAGAAAAGAAACCAAAAAATATTATTGAAGCCGCCAAAAATGTAGCTGAAGCATTAGATGTTGGGGCTGATCAACATCAAAAACGAAAGACAGAATCAGAACTTTTGTCGAAATTGTTGAATCATATTGATCATGAGGCAGCGACTTCTGAAAACTTTGCAAAAAGCTCTAAAGAAGTTAACTTAAAGTAAATATTATGTTATTGTTTCTTTTTACTGAAGTTACTATTTATTAAATAGTTTTTTCAAATTTTTTTTAAATTGGTTATATAATTATGTATGCATTGTTTTAGTGATATAATTGTTGGGATGAAAATTGATCGGAAACCAACAATAAAAGACGATTCACAACTAAAATATTCATCTACACGCAGTCAATATGTTCGTAGAGCCTTATCTGGTAAACAATTCGCAGAAACAAGTGATGATCGCTTTAAAAAACCTCGTAGGAAGCAATTGACTGAAGCTGTGCCTAATACTGGTAGTGTAAATTTATTTGGAGAGGAACCATTAGGAATTTTTAAAGATCCTACACTATTAAAAGATAGTCCCGATATTCTAAAAACCTGGTCTTTATTAGAAAAACGAGAATTAAAATTAGCTGTAACACATCCACCACGTAACTACTTCGAAAAAATGATATTGTGGACCGAACAAGGGAAATTATGGAAATTTCCTATTGATAATGAACAAGGTTTAGAAGAAGAACAGAGTGTAGATTTTTCAGAACATGTGTTTTTAGATCAACATTTAGAGGGTTGGTGTCCAACGAAAGGTCCTGTTAGACATTTTATGGAACTAGTTTGTGTTGGTTTATCAAAAAACCCATATATAACTGCTCAAGAGAAAAGAGATCATATCTATTGGTTCAAAGAATATTTTCAACAAAAGGAGAAACTTCTAAAAGATTTAATACAAGAAAAGGAGCAAAAACAACAAATAGAACAGAAACAACTCACAAGTAGTTAATTTAATTATAACATCATTATCATATAATGTTAATTTCATTTAATATGTTTTGTTTTGTTAAAATGAAATACAATTTTTTATTTAATTTAATTTTGGTTTTGTTATTTTTTAAGGTATTAAGTTTTTCTTTAATTTTTTATTAGGATATTCTCATACTAAATATGCATTAAATAATTCCATAAAATTTTTTATATTTTCCTTTATATGTAGAAGAAACTATTCAAATGATATCAAATCAACAAAACTCCCTTTTGGGAAAAGTTATTGAAATGTAAGTTCTTCATATTTTTTTAAATAATTTATTAATGTGTTTAAATTTTAGTAAGCCATCGAGAGCTGGATTTCATACGCAAATAGAACGACGAAATAAGTAAAATATTAAAGCGATAACATAAAATTATATTTAAAAAAAATATATATATATATTTTTTAGTTCTCGTGTCATACATGAGCCTGAATTAACACTAAATAGATCAAATCGAAAAATAGTTTTTATTGGTCATTCTGCTACATGGCTACCATTTGAAAAAATTAAGCCCAATATTGAAGATGCAGTTACTGAAGGAAATAAAAAAATAGTATTTGTTGGACATTCTGCTACATGGATTCCAACTTCGCCCTCCAAACAAAGAAAGTCGCCATTTTCAACATCTGCATTTCAACAACAAAATCAAGAAAGCTCATCAAAAGTTGATCGCAAGGTAGAAAGTAAATTTGAAACAATAACACAAAAAAATAATTCTGTAGAAGCTAAAAACAACATTCCGATAAATAAACAAAATACAAACGAATATATGGAAGTACATAAAAAAACAAAAAATGAAAGTATTTCAAAAGTGAAGGGCAAAGCAAAAATTGTTAAAAGTATGGCAGTAGTTGACCAGAATACTAAGGAATTGAAAATTATGCATATTAAAAATGAAACGCCTCTTAAACATGTAAAAAAATCGCCAACTAATGATGATCAGAACGAGCTCCTAACTGCTATCAAAAACTTTAAACTTCCAGAAGAAGCATCTGATGATTTAATTTTGTCCGTGCCAACCTATAATTTAAACAAATATGTAACAGCTTTAGATCCTAATTTAATATCTAATGAAATTGAGAAGGTTGTTCATGAATTGGAAACAACAATTAAACAAAAAAACTCTATTCAAGGAGATTCAGGAAAAGAAAATTCTAAGCCGCATATTGTTTCAAACTCTGTTAATTTAAAAGATAAAAAACAAAATTCAATAAAAGAAGATAATGTTACTCAAAGAAACATAAGAGGAAACAATAACAAAGATAATAAAGAAGTTGGTGTAATTATTCCAGAAGAAATAGTTGTTTATGACAAGTCAATAGATAAATTAAAAGTAGTAAAATCAAGTGAAAATCCCCAAATAGTTCAAAAAGCAAAGGAACAAAATAAATCTTTAGAAAAATTACAAGCAGAAACAATATCTAATTATGCTCTGAAACATTGGTTTGACTCTGATTCGAAAACTGCCGTTCTCAATTCAAAAAAAGAAACCAATCAAATAAAAAATCAAAAAGAAAATCCAATGATTAAAAACCAAAAGATTTCAGATATGCCCGTCGACTTACAGAGGAAGATTGAAGAAATTCGTGCGTATTCCAATAAAATGTCAAGATGGAGTTGTACAACTACAAGTACATTCGCTGCAAATGATAAAGATAGCTTAAATAATCCAAAAGATGATGCACAGATGAAAATTACAAAATTTTCTAAATCCCAACCAGATAAGATTATAAATAAAGCAATTGATCAAATAAATAATTCAACAAATGAAAGAGAACTCGTGTTTGTTGGCAGTATGTGTTATTGGTTGCCTAAATTAATAGATAAATCAAACACCCGTAATCAAAAGCATGCAGAAAACAATACAAAAACGTCTTACATTAAACAAATCGACCATGAAAATCGTAATTTTCCAGACTCCATCAAATCTATTGTACCGGATGTAGTTGTTCTTGGAAACAATGTTTTATCAAGGATTGTTATTAAAGATAATAGAAAATACACAAAAGGGAAAAATTTGTGGGAAAGCGATTTAAAATCGAATTCTGCAAGTTCATCTAAAAACGATCCTTTGGTTGAAAAAACTCAAGAAAGTAAAAAAGGTGTGATTGAAACATTTGGAATTCCGGTTAAACATGAAAAGGAAAATATTCTTTTAAAAGATGTTCAAGGAGAGATTAAACCAACTTTAGGAACTGGAGAAAAAGATCTACGAAATCAGAAATCCTCAAATAACAAAAAATTTGCCTTTCAAGCAGCTCAACTCGAGAAAAATACTGAAAAATATTCAACTATTACAAATTCATCTGCAAAAACTGTTAACCAAGAAACTAAAAAGACTTTTGAGCCAGTTAGAGTAATTTTGAACCCAATCCCAATTCCAAAGTCAAATTTAACGAAAGAAGTAAGCGACAATGTGGAAGAAAAACATGCCCAAATCAAAGAAGATGATTTAATAATAAACAAGAATAAACAAATAGAAGAAGGAAAATCAATGAAATTGGAAAAAGTATCAAATCAAATTGATAAAAAAAATAAAGAAACGGAAAATCTAGCTACTCCGATTTTAAACAACAAAGTTGAACCAAAATCTAACATTTCAAGGGAAAAAATTGTTACTGACCAGCCATCTAAAGCAAATTCTAAACCATTTTCATCAACATGGTCAAGAGTTGATAATCAAACGGAAGCGCTTGCATCGAATGCTTTACCTCTCACAAATTTCGAAAAAATAACAATAGAAGATAAAAAGGATAAGGCTACAAAAATTGAGCCAGTGAAAGATAAACAAATTTTATCAGGAAATAAAGATAGTGAAAAACCTCAAAAAATTGAAGTTTCTTCCGAAGGTTTCTTAAAATTGGATACCACAAAAAAATCAAAAACCGAAAATTTAAATCTAAAAAATGAATCGAAACTATTAGGAAAAGTTGAAACTTTAAATAAAGAAAAACCCAATACTTCGGAGGAAATTTCAAAAAAAAATTTACTTAGTAATAATCAACATTTGGGAAAATCTTCACTTGATAATACAGCCAAATCTTCTTCATCTTTCGTTCTTGACGAATCTAAAGCGCAGAAGCTATCATCTAATCCAGTAAAATGCCCTGCTACTGAGCTACAATCTACAAGTCAAAATAAAAATATAAGTAGTAGTTTTATTATTGTTGAAGATAATATTGAAACTATCGATAATATCGACAAAAGTGAAGAGAAATTGGAAACTTCTCCAAAACCAAAGAGCAAAAAAGATAAATCAAATTTAAAACTATCTGATGCACAAGTTAAAACTGATACAATAATTCTTGGGCCGCCTAACACTAAAACATCTAATTCGAATCCTACTCAATTTGTCCTTGTTAATAACACTAGTCAAACTTATTCTGTTGCAGAACCGTTAATAGAAAAGAAATCAAATGATTCAACAGCAGATTTAAATATTGAAAACAGTAAAGTAAAAAAAATAAGTGAGGAACCTCTGTCAAAATCTGCCTGTTTATCTTCGCAAGTAAACCAAGATAAAGGTACATTATCTGAAGATAAATCAGAAACTAAAGAGAAAACGAAGTCGAGTAGGCCTCATGAAAAAGGTACAATAAAATCCGACATTCAATTTTCTCAAATCAATCAAAGAACAGACGTTGAGAAATCAAAACCAAAGCAAATGTCATCCTTTCCTGGCGTTACAGAAAATGATGCAAAAATTTCACAACCGGAATTGTCAGCGGAAATACCAAAAATTAAAACAATTAAAAAGTCGGAAAGTTTGATGTCTGAAAAAGAACAAGTAAGCGAGAAAAATAAAGCTGAAACAAAGCCAAGTTTTTCCAATTTTGAAACAAAGACATCTACAATTCAAAAAGGAGAAATTAATAGAAAGGAAGAGTTGAATCAAAAATCTAAACAGAACTTACAAGGAAAACTTCAAGAGAAAGTACCACAATCAAAAATTAATGCCCAATCAGACAGTTTATTATCTGCATCGCAGAAAACTGAATTGAACAATAATGTCACAAGTCCGAAAATGAAATTAACATCAGAGTCAAAAGAACAAAACATGCAAAACACTGTCACAATTTCTGAAAAAATTGAAGATAAAACCGTAAAATGTGAGGAGAAAGGAAAACAAAATTTAGAAATGAAATCGCAAGCAAAAATCACACAAACCAAGCCAAATGGACAACCAGAAGCAACTACCAAATTAGAAAAAAAAGATGCCGGACAAATAACAAAGTCAATATCATCAACGGAAACACAAAATTTAAATATTACTGCTGCAATTTCTAAAAAAAATCAAGATAAATTAGAGAAGGTTGGAAATCAAAATTTGGAAGTCAAATCACAAGTTAAAATCGTACCACCTGAGGTTGATGCTCAGTCAAAAATCTTACCACCTAACAAACTAGATGAAAGAGTTACAGAACAGCAAATAAAATCAGTATCAGAACGGCAACTACAAAATCTGAAAAATGTAGAAAAACACGAGAAGGTCGGGAATCTAATTTTAGAAACAACACCGCAAGCAAAAGTTACACAGACCAAGGCGAATGCACAACCAGAAATTTTAACATCTACCACATTAGATGGGAAAGCAATCGGAAAATCTATAAATTTAAATAAGACAGTCCCCAGTACTAAAGCAATTCAAGATAAAGCAACGAAATCGCAAGTAAAAGTCACAGAAACTAAGGCAAATGCACAACCAAAATTTTTTTCGTCCACGACTATAGACGGGAAAGTTACCGGACAACCAAAAAAAATAGTACCATCACTGGAATCACAAAATTTAAATAATGCTCCCGAAATTTCTAAAAAAAATCAAGATAAAGCAGCGAAATATAAAAATGTTCAAAATCAAAATTTGGAAATAAAATCGCAAGTAAAGGACGTACCATTCGACGCTAATACGCAATTGAAAATTTTACCATCTACCAAATTAGACAATAAAGTTACGGAACAGCAGATAAAGTCAACGCCATTGCCAGATTCACAAAAATTAAATAATGCTCCAGCAATTTCTAAGGATATTCAATATAATGAAATCAAAAATAGGAAAAAAGATACAGAAACGGGTCAAAACACTACAAACAAATACCATGAACTAAAACTGAACGAAAGTTCTACCTCGAAGTTAAAAAATACATCACAAAGTAGTGACTTTGTACCATCAAACAACCAAGCACTAAAAGGTGACTTAATAAATTCGGCTCCTACAAAACCAAAGGATTACCAGATGAATACATTTGACTATAAAGAAAAATTTGTGTTGAATACGGCTACTGAAGCAAAAAATGCAACATCCATAGCTTCAACTAATAAAAATATACAAAATGAATCGGTCACAAATAAATTTACACCTGTTTCATCTTCTATAGTGAATAAAAATTTGGAAGAAATAGCTCGAAAAAATGGTGTCCTTAATATTGAACGAGATATAGGTAAGTCGAAACCAATAAATTTATACATATTTTCTTATCCTCCAAAAACATTAGACACTCAAAAAACAACAGAGCAACCAAATTTAGTAGTGGACAAAACTTTGCCGAATCTCTTTGATGTCAATGCACAGGCAACAAAACCACTTATCAAAAATGATAAGTCACATTCTGACTTAAACATTGCTGAAAAATCAGTATTGAAAGATGAAGTGACGAAGAAAGAACCGGAACTTTTGAAAAAACTTTCACCTTTAGAAAAAATGTATAAGAAAGTTGATAAAAAGTTGGATCAAATACAAAATAATTTGGCAACTGAAGAGTCAAAGTTAACCGTATCGAATGATAAAATCAAAACTTCAATTGCAGATCCTAATTCACTTAAGGAATTTAGAGAAAATTTTAAGACGTTAGCTTCACAAAAGACAACTGAAAATTCTACAGAGAAATTATCTTTAAGTGAAAGTTCGAAAAAACCAGAGAAAATTTTAAACCCAGAAACGGATGATAAAAATATTATTCGTAAAACATACATTCCTTTTTCATACCATCTTTCGTCACCAAAAGATCAACCTAAATTTAAACAAACTGAATTAGAAATGGATAAAACGGCAAATGAGTCTCCATTTATAAATCTTAGTTTTCTGAAGAAATACATAAAAGAGAAACCAAAAGACACTAAAGTGGAAAAGGAAAAATCAGAATCAATACTGAAACAGGTTACAAATATGATAAAAGAGGAACTTTTTACTTATCAAGAAATTCCAAAAGAGGGTAGTAAAAATACTATAAAATTATCTGAGGAAAGTTGTGCTTCCCAGCCAGTTTTTGATAATAAAACATCTGTCAAACCTGGGGTAATTTATAATCAAGTTAAAAACATGCTTAAAGAAGATGCAACTAAAAATCAATCTAGTTCACGTTTTGAAATACCAAAAACAATTACTCCAGCTGCTGCCCAAAAACTTCAGACAACTTTAGATGATAACACTAAGAGCAAAACTGAAGAGATCTCTAAAGTTTCACTAGAAACTCAAAATTCTGAAAATTCTTTGAATAATATGGATATGTCGAAACGGGATTTAATGAGTAAGGAATCAAAGGATGTGAAAAATCAAGAACTAGAAAAACCGGCTGTTGCATATGCTGAAACATCTGTGGTACCTCAATCTTTAATTAAAATGGAATCTCCACTTGCCCCTAAAAAAAATTCAGAAACACCTGAAATTAAATCGAAAATACAAAATGAAAGTACAATTTTCGTTAAAAACACTAAAATGATATCGGAAACTGAATCTTCAACAAAATTGGAATCAAATCTTGAAAAAGAAGCTGATAAATTTGTTTCAGACGTAAAGACTCAAGGTGTGATAAATGAACTTAACAATATACGTAGTAAAAAATTTACTCCTGAGGCAAAAAGTGATTTACAAAAATCAGAATCTGAACTTAAAAATCATCCCAAAGATACTGGAAGTAATGTAAAGGTATTAAGAGGTTCTACAATGGAATCAAAAAACGATGAAGAAGAGCTTTACAAAATATTAGGAATTTCTAATGAACACCCCAAAAAGCCCATACAAGCATCGAATGCACCTCACAAACCTTCTGAATCGGTTATGGATAAAATAAGAAATTATTTATCTAAACAAGAAGAAAAACCAAAATTGGAATCTATTGATGCAGAGTTAACAAAAGGGAAATCAGAAAATAACACTACAGTTACAACTGCTGACAAATTAACAGAGCCTATTACAGCAAAGATCACTGATTCAGAAAAAGAAATATTAAATAGAACACCCATTACTACAGCATCCCCTACAGAAACGACAAAAGCTAACTCAACAGAAACTGTTGCAAAAACTGAAACACAAAATGTTATTGAAGCAGATAGAATATCTGCTACTGACAAACTAAAAAAATTTTTAAGAAGCGATTCAAATAACAGTTCACCATACCATATGATTAAGCCCATGTCATTGCTCGAACATCTTACGAATATGGACACTGAACAAGTAAAAATCGATTACACAATGAAACTATTGACTGATTCTCGTTCAAATTCTATTTCAAGTTCAGAAATAAATACAACAAACGCATCAAAAACCCAACTACCCTTACTACAAACTATTGAAAAAGACGAAGTTTTGATGAGCCCAAACCCGGAGGTACTAGTAAAGGCATCAGTATTACCGAAAGAAAAAACCGCTGATAAAATAATTTCTTCTAAATTGTCCAATGTCCCTAACATTTCGCCAAAATCTAACACAGTTGATAAAAAAGAATCATCACCAAAAGCGCTTAGTGCAACTGATTCCAAATTAGATCCCAAAAAGAATAACAATGAAAATAAAGAAGAAGAAGAAGAGGAAGAGGTGGAAGAAGTAGACAATACTAAAAAAGTTATGAAAGATGAGTCTAAAAATAATGAAAAGATAAAAAATCAAACAAATTTTGCCACTAAAAATGATCCAAAAGAATCATTGGAAAAGAAACTCACTTCACAATCCGATAATGAGCATAATAGACCACAAAGCCCATTCTCAAAAAGTTCTGTAAAACCGTTAGGTAAAATTCGAAGGGAACCTGTTAATATAATTGAAGGTCCAAGCCCAAGTATTTTGGATATTGAAATTAATAGTGATAAAAAAGATATTACTGAAAAAGAAAAGAAAAACATATCCGAAACAACAAATCCAATTGAAACATCATCCGTAGTAATTAATAGCAAAATTCAACCACCAAGCCCAATTCGATTTGATGCTCCAGAAGTACAAATTTCTAAAGACTCAGTTTCACCCAAAAACACATTAAAAAAGGATTCTAAAGAACAAATTGAAAAAAATGAAAATTCATTGAATGTCAAACAAATTGATTTTACTCATAATCAAAAATTTATAAAACCATCACGACCCTTAATGAAAGAATTAAGAAGTGTAGCGAAATCAAATCGTAATATTAGCGCTTCAGTTTTAGATGATTTCAAAATTGAAATGGATCGTTATAATTCAATGGAAGCGACACCAGAAGATAAAAATAAAATTGTATTAAAAATAAAATATTTAACAAAAATTGAACCTACTACATTATCAGAAGCATCATCGCCTCAAATCCATTCAGAAAATTCAGTATTAGATCAAAAGATAAAAGATGATGATACAAAGAAAAATAAAAAGTAGTAAAAAAATATAGAATTTAAATTGAAATTAGCACCAAGCATTCAAATAATTCTAGAGAATTTAAATTAAGAAAACAAAATCGTTATAAGGTTTTCGATTTACTTCGATCTTCCATACATTCGTGAATGTTCAATTGAAATATTATTATAATTTAAATAGAATTTTATTATGAAAAATAATCTTGGTACCGAGTGATCGACGTAAATCAATCCTTTCAAAAAACAATACAATAAAACCCAAAAATTTAAAATATTTAAGATCACTAGAAGGCAAATTTAGTTATTATCTTTAATGATTTCCAATTGTTTCAGAAATTATTTAGTCAGCAAAATTGTATTGCTGTCAAATCAATATATTAGTCAAGTTGACGTCAGAGTTTTGTTTCGGTAGACGTCCTCATTATATCATTTAATTTGCAATTAAATTAAATTTAATATTACTAATTTGTAAATTAAATTTAGTTTACTTAATTAAAGTTTTAATTTTGATTTTACGATAATATTTTATTAATTTGCTCGAATGACACAAATATTGATCGTTATTATCATAACGCAGAGAATTTTAATTATTTTTAATTACATAATGTTGAAGTTCATAATGCGTTCATAAAATAATAATGTGAGTTATATTTAAAGTAGTTCATTTATAGTTAACTAACTTGCAGCAACAATTTATGGCAATACTCTATCGTTACTCTTTAAATGCAATGCTCGGTTTTATAAATGCATTGCGAACATACTGCAAAAATTGTACCGGGTAATTAAAAATTGAAAAAGGTAAATTAACCCTCAGCAGCAGGTAATAACTAAATTTGTCTTCAAATAATATTAAGATCACAATTTAAATAAAATATGTAGACATTATGCATAATAATTCTTAAATGAAAATCAAAAAAAAAAAAAAAACAAATGCTTTGAATACCAAAAAAGAAACCAAATAATTTTTAATAATAATTATTAATAATAAAAATTGTTGTAAAATGTTTTAATTTAAAATTTAAAAATGGAGGATTTCAAAAAAATTATTATGTATGTATGCATGTATTTAAGTAATATAACAAATTCTTTCATTCAGAATTCGAACAATAAAATGTCAAACAATAAGAAATTAATTCGGAATTCAAAAAATCGACTATTATGTTCGAAGCTCGATACGTGTCATTTAATTGAACGATTAAGAGAGGTCTAATTTTAAAGTAAGATGATTTTTGAAGAAGATCGAATTGGTATAAATTTCAAATTAAAGGAAAATATATAAAAGATGTAAAATAATTAATTTCAATTCAAATTAGAATGGCATATTTAAGAAATATCGATTTTTTTTTGATGATGTAAAAAAATACCGAATATACCGAAAGTTAGGATATTTATCAAAATATAGATCTAATATGTCAATTTAATTTATTTAGCAATACAATTGCTGAAATAAGTGTAATTTACATTAGATCTGCATTGTTATAGACGCCCTTATTGATTATTAAATATTTGTGTGGATTTTAAAGTGAGAATACGAAAATTGTGTTAGCGGTTTTGGGATCCTCCAGCAATTTGATAAAAAATATTTAGTGTTTTTAAAAAATTAATTGAAAAAAATTGGAAAAATTTAATAAATTTTTTTTTTGTTTTTACGAAACTTGCCTTAAAAATTTTTACTAATTAATTTAATTGTACAAGTTTTTGTCTTTTTTTTGGATGCCATTTTTAAGTTTTTCATATTGAAAAAATTTACGTTTTAAGATTTTGCATTTAAATTGAATTTAATGAAAAAAATTTTTTGAAATTTTTTTTTGACTTATAAATTTACAAATTGATTTCATTTTTATGCAAATTTTATTTACTCGGTTGTATAAATTAAGATTTACTATTATTTAAGTTTAAGTTAAAATGATTGTTCCTATAAATAAATACAAATATTATTTTCCAAATTATTATAATTATTAAAAATATTGCAATATTGTATTTTTTTTTTTATATTAAATTTTTATATTCATCTTTAATTTTATGTTATTTAAATAAAGCACAGCAATAAAATAAATTAATATTTATTTAGTGAGTTGTTAAAAAAAATGTTAATATTTAAAAATAAATTATTCAATGCATATAATTATTATTATAAATACAATTAAAAAATGGTTTTATTTAATTGAAATTGAAAAAGGTAAAAAATCATATTAAAAAAAAAAATTTAAAAATTTTCAAGAAATCAAGCCTGTTATTGAGTACTCGTTGAGCTGACTTTTTAGACCCCAAACTTTTTATATTTTAAGATTGTTTTGAAAAAAATTAAATGCAAAAATTTAATAATAATCTTCTGTTTATTTTAGAAATTGTGTTTATTCACTCAAGTTGACATGACATAAGCTTCATCTGTCAATTTCACCTTTTTGCCTTCAATAGCTGCTCTTACTCCCGTCCATAGCATCTTTTTAATTTTTATATCTTACTTATACCTTGGACTCTGCTATGTTGCCATATTGAAGCTGCATCAATTTAAAATTATACTTGCATCGTAAGAAAACTCTTATAAAATCCTAGAATTGTCTTTAGTTTGACGTTAGTAAAATAAAGCACATTTAGAAAACTTTCAAATTAATGGAGTTTCCCTGCGAATCCAACTTTTTTAATTCACAATTTAGAAAGAACAAATTAACTGCTTGTTGTTTAACTGCAATAATTTCAATATCCTAAAATAAAAATGATATTAAAAATAATTAAAAAAATTTTTTCTATTATTTTTAATTAAATTTTATTTTTAAATTTTTGTTTTGTTTTTTGTTTTTTCTTCCTCTTTCTTTAAAATATTTTTATAATATTTCTGTAATTATATAAGAAAATAAGTTTCTTTATATATTCCCATTAATATATTTCATTTAAATCATTTAATAATTCGCTTTATTTTTGCTTTTTTTTTTTTTAATTTAACCACAATTGATTTTAAAAATAAGTTATGGAAGTAACAATGTGGCAAAAGTTATGATTATTTTAAATTTGTATATATGCTTACAAAATATCTCAACATCAAACAAATGCCTTAGACTCAAAGAGTATTTATAAAATTTAAAAATTGATTGATAAATTTTAAAAAAAATTTGAGCTTAATGGAATCCAAACAGGTCTAAATCGATTTATTTTGTTTCAACTCGCTGTATGTATTTCAATATTCGATTTGACATGACTTAATTTAAAAGTGTGCTGTACAGTTATTTTAAATTCAAATCGAATGAACTGTACCTATGCATAATATTTTTTATTACAGTTGCAGAACTTCATATAAACTATGACTAATGACATTTCTAAATATGGTACAGGGTTAATACTTTTGTACAATTATATTAAATTCTACTATATATTTTCGGCATTAAAATTGTCACGTTAATTTTTAAGTCAAAATAAAAAAAATATAATATTTTAGTAATTATCTGAATAAAGTAAAATTAAATAGCTACAGTAAATAAATTTTTAAATATTAAATTTGATGTTGAAATATTTTATATAGAATAATGCAAATAAAATATATAATTATGTATAATTTCATGTATATATAAATTACCGTTATTTTGATATATAAATATACATTTTAGCTATTTTGTGTAATATCTTTTTTTTTTTGTTAATTTTAATTGTTTTACATTTTAAAAACTCTGTGCGAAATTTCAATAAATTTAATTTTTTTTTTTTAATTTCTATTTGGACCTACATTTTTTTTTGCTCTCTAAATTTACATATTGAACATTTAATTTTTTTTTATTAATTAATTAATTTTAACTTTATTATTTTTATTTTCATTTTCTAACAATTAATATCAAAGAAAAATATATTTATGTTATTTAAATAAATAATTATTTTTTTTATTTTTGCAAAACTTAGGTTACAAATTTTTGCTGCAAAAATTGAAAAACAAAAATTTTTAGTTTGTAAGAAAAGTCATTGCCAATTTATATTGAAAAAATAATGAGGGTCTCTTGATTCTTGACAAGGAAATTAATATTAAATATTTTTTTTACCAATAAAAATCTCTTGTTGTGAGAAATTTAAAGTGTTATAGAATTTTACAAATGATTCCGGTAACGTACAACACCTTATTTCTCTAAAGAAATACTAGGTTCGAATTGGAAATTTCTTAAATATTTGAAAATTTACAAATTAATAAAATATAATCAAGAGCTATATGTATTAAACTAAAAATAATTTCAATATAAAAACAAAATTAAATTAAAAATAATTTTAAAATATTATTAAATAGACAATGACTTTATTTACATTCTAATATTAGATTTTTTTTTCTATACGGGGTTTTTCTACACAATTTACAATTTTATCATATTTTATATAATAATGTAGACATAATTTTTTTTTTAATATACTAATTATTAATTAGTATATTAAGGCAGGTTTTAAGTTGAGCAAAATAATTTGGTTTTATGCTATGATAAATTTTTGAAAATAAAAAAATACTTAATTTTTATAAAAGGAAATTTTGAAATTAGATTTTGGGATATTAGGATTCTGAGGATATTATGTTAGAAATTTGCAAAAGTATTTGACTAAAAGTTTATTCCACACATAAATTTTAGCAAATTATAAATTAAAAAGAAATGAAATATGTATTTACATATTATAAAAATTGTATAATAAATTATTCAAAAAGAATATATGAACGATCAAATTCTAAATTTGAAAATTCAATATATGAATATAGTTTAAAATTTATGAACAGAATTTGTTTAATTCAAGAAAGTAAACAATTATTAAAAATTATTAATGAGTATTATTAATTTTAAAATAATTGTATTCGATTTTGAGTCAGAAATTTCTAATCAAACTTCTAAATTAAATAAAAAATTGTGTCTGCTACAATATGTATTAGAATATTGTTAATTAAATACAAAGGTTTTTGTGGAATATTGCATATTATTCAATTAAATTAAAATTAAAATATAACCTAATTAATTTTCTAATGTGAAACAAAAATTAATTATGATAATAAAATAATATATCAGTGCTTAAATAGCTTTTTTTAAAATTAAATATTAAAAATATTTAGAATAAATTTTACAGGATTTAATTTAGAAACGTTCAAAGAAAATTATTATACCTATACATTCAAAAATATAAATTTACAATTTGCTCTACTATAAATATACATTACTTAATGGACGTTAAAGTTTTGTTTTTTTTTTTATTATTACAAAAATTGGCAATTTTGTTAACTCTATAAACTACAAATACAATTTTAATGCTTTAATTTTTTTTTATATAACAATTTCTATTCATTGAAGCGTTATTAGGTTCTTTTTATATTTTAAATTTTTTTAAGATATTAATTTGGATAAATTAATATCTTGGGTAATCACAAAAATTAAAAATATAAGTTAAACAAAAAAAATCATTTAAAAATATAATATTTTTAATATTTTATTTTTTTTTTTGTACAGAGCATATTTCATAGATATTTCATTGAAATTTGAAAAAAAAAAAAAAGAAATATTCGTACAACAAGCTATTATTGAAATAAAATCTGCTTTTTAATGTTCGATGAATTCTTTAAAATGACCCTGTACATATATATATAACATGTATATATATATAATATATAATATTGTGTTAAAGGTAATAATTTTTTGAGCTAATACCCTAAAAACAGGTAAATTTTTTATTATAATATTATGTTAGTGTTTTTTAGAAGGCGTTTTTGCTATTGCAACAGCCATTGGTAAACTTGTTACAATTGTATCTTGTGTTGTTTGTGTAGTTTGAATCATCATATTATTATCATTATTTGGATTAGAAACCAAACAATTATTATCTACAATAACAGATCTATCTACATTATTTAAATTATTTTGAGTATTAATAGTTGATTCATCTGGACTTATTCTGCTACAATTCGTACCACGACTAATAGTGCAATTATTTAAATTATTACTATTATTTGAAATACTATTATTACTATTATTTGAATTTTTTTTATAATATTTTCTATTAAATTTACTGGACTTTAAAAATTTATTTGATTTATTTGTATTAGTCGTTGATGGTGATACTAATGACATTGTTGTTGATGATCCCATAGAACATGTACATTGAGTATTATCAAAATCTTTTAGAATTGTTGATGTTGTAGGTTGCTGATGCTGTTGTATCAAAGCTGATTGATGTTGTTGTTGTTGTTGTTGTTGTATTTGTTGCTGCTCATTACTATTACAATATTTATTTGGTATTGTTGTTAAGGTTGAAATTGAAGAACAAACGGACGGAATTGAATTCTTTTCATTTCTCATTATAAAATTGGTTCGATATGGTAATGGTACAATAGTTGTAGTAGTGGTTGTAGTTGCTGTACAAGCATTTTCATATATTTGTTTTTGGTCATCTAATATAATGTTATCACTTTGTAAAATATCATTATTTGATTCAATCGTTGCTAATTGATTTTTATTATTATGCTCTTGTGAATTTTCATCAGTCATAATATGATTTTCAATAGAATGTTGTATAGGTTGTTGTTGCTGTTGCTGCTGTTGTTGAATAACCTCAACATGATTTAAATTTTTATTATGGGATGTTTGAGATTGTTGTAATGGTTCACCTAATGGTAAATTTGTTGATGCGGTACATATTGGACGTACTTCAATTGAAGTTGACAAGGCATTTGATAAATTTACGGTGACAATTGGTTGAATTATTCTTGGTGATGATGATGATGATAAAGTTGAAGTAGGTGGAGGAGGTGTTACTAATGTTGAACCAATACAATTTGATTGTTGTTCATCATTTGTAATTGGTGCAATTGTTGTTATTGGTTCAGCTAATGTACAAGATGTTGATAAATTATCTGAAGAAAGTTGTACAACAGATTCATAACTTGGTGGTGGCCCATATAATTGATAATATGGACATAATTCTAATCTTGGTAAAAAATTTGTTTGATGAGCATGTTGTTGTTGCTGTTGTTGATAACGTCTTAATGTTCTATCACCTGTTACACCATTATGATATCGAACAGATGCGGTATCATAATAATTTGAATTTCTACCATCTACAAAAAATTATTAATTATATAAGAATTGTATGTATAGAGATAGGTAATATTATCAACAATTGTTTTGAGCACTTACTACGATAGTAATATGAATGCACTCCATTATTACGGACTAAAGTTACACGCCTCTCATAATCATTTGCTGCTACATTAGAATGTCTTCCATTATTTCCACTATTTGATGATCTTGTTGGTGTTGAATGTAATAAATGATGATTGGCTCCATAATAAGAACCTGTATCAGAACCATTATTTATTTGATTTCTAATACTACCAGATGAATCACTCTGTCGACAAAATCTATACCACCAGCTACCACCCGAACATACCATAAACATAAAAATTAATAGTAACCTGTTGAATAAAAATAAAAAGCGTTTATTTTAAAGAGAAAATTTATTTTATTAAGAATCTATATTGAATTGGTAAGCCCAGCTGTATATATCTTTTATATATAGATTGACTAAAATTGCAAAATATACTCGACAATTTGTTCACGAAGAAAATCTTCATATACATGTGAAGATAATTCTCTTTCAAATCTGCTCTCAATTAAAAAACTGTACAAGTCGAATTTTACTGTTTTTGATTTTATTACAAGTTTGAACTTCTCTTGCTTAAATGTATGTGATGTCATAACTTTATTTATATACCTAGGTTAGCTTCGTAGTTATGAGTAAAATTTTTAAAAGTTGCACCTTTGCCCTGAAAAATAAAAGTGAGCTGCAAACTTAATTTGATCAGCTAAATTTGGTTTCTCAACAGATTTTTCTTATTTCTACTAAAATGAAACCTGCATACATCCTCACTCTGAGATTGCGAATAAAAGTAAAAAAACCTGTGCATCATTACTTAGAAGCCTGAAAAATAAAGCCAATAGGGTACGGTATTATTTATTTAAATGAAAGCGATAAATATAATCCGGATACGCCGAGATACTTAAAAATTTTCTTTTCTTCAAAGTTTTGAGCAATTGACCTCAGCTCAGCTCATAATCAAAATGTGAGAGCGGTATTTCAAAATTTTACAGTTTCAAAAATTTCATATATACTGAAACAATAACAACAACTTAAACCAATGAAAATTTTGGACAGATAACAGCTTCAAAATTAGAAAATAAGATAATTTTGAAGGTCTACTTTGAAGCTGCCAAAATTTTGAAGTGGTTCTTTACCTTTTGATTATATTTACATTAATGATTACTTGTTCGGATTTGAGCTTTAGTTAGAACCTTAACACAAGATTATAATAAATATTTTTCAAATTTATTCAGCATTTGACAATTTGACCATGTTTGTATTTTTCTTTAAATTATTTTCAATAAATACACAAACGTACACACATACATATATGTATAAAAGAATAATAAACAAAAAAAAAAAAAAGCTCATAAATAATTAGTGCGCTGACTCCACTATTTCTTCCTTTTAAAATTCCTTTTATTTTTCAACATTTTCTTTATTTTTTTTTTTTTTGCTTTTCTACTTAAATGGTAAAATTTACATAAAGTTGGGGCTGTAAAGAAAATCAAGGTAAAAATACGCACATACATAAAGAATTGTGCACGAAATCAGACAAAATTTTTATTTGTGCATTTATTTCTATATATATATATACATATATTAATTATATTTTATAAAATACAAACACATAAACTCGTGTACGTTAAAAAAAGCTTGAATTTTTCAAGAAGGACATCATACGAAATTCATATTTCATGTTTAATTCTTTCATATTATGCTCATTTCGAATATTTTTGTTGTATATATATATAGATAAAAGTGATCGGAAGGAAGGTTATCCGATTAAAAATAAAAATTAAAAATAAATATGAAAAAAAAATATTCGTCTACATAATAATGTGAATGTATATACATGGTATGTATGTATGTTAAATAAAGAATTCTTATACATGTGTTGCACTTATAATATTTAAAGGCAAAGGACATGTCAATTAAATTATTATTTTTATTATGATTATTATTTATATTATTATTAGAGTATATTATGATATGATTTAATAAGAATATATTTATTGTTAAGGGAGGACTAAAACTATATATAATAAAAGAACAAAAAAACAAAATATAAAAGAAGAAGAACGGAAAGAATGCAATTAGAATAAAGAAGTAATTTCAAAATCGTTTTATATAGGGACGTTGTGCATACATGGGTCTTTGTATATACACATAAAATTATGATAATTACATGAAAACTGCATTCGATCAAACCCATGGTATCTAAAATAGCACATTTACATATCATGAACAATTTATAGGTAAACATAAAACACCATATTTAAATATAAATTTAAAAAAAAGTTCAATTATTCAAACACAAATCTATTGAAATAATTTTGCATAAATTTGGGAGTTATAATATTCAAAATTTGCATAAAATTCAGAGTTATAATGAATAATCAAAATAATCAAAAAATGAATTGTGTCGCTAATAATTTAGTTAAGCTTATAACAGTATACATATATTGCCTTTGCATATTTGAAAATACTACTGCATTTATAAAAGTTCGATATGAAGTTAATTAGAGCCGAAGAAATAAATGTACATTTTACAAATTTAAAATAACTCGAGATAGATGAGAGAAGTTCGAAAAAATTTTATTCTAATTTGGCACTATTAATTATTTGCGTCTCAACAACAAGTTAGTCACAAACCAAGTTAAAACACAATTGATTACGAAGCTGCGGTGCGGTATGCCTATTGCCATGAAGCAGTCCTATATCTCTCCTGTCATTATTATTCTATAAGGGTGACAGAGGAAAAAAAAATTATGTCCTTGTACAAAAATTCATCTATCTACCTTAAAGGACGTAGAAAATTTTGCAAACTAGTGAACAGACAAACAGACAAATTGAAATTAATGGGAACATTTTTATTTTTCAAAATATTTAAAAAATTGTGTCAGTGAAAATCAAGCATCATATAAGTTTATAAATTTAAAAAAAAATAAAAGAGAAAATTTTGAAAAAATTAAAGAGTAATTGAAATTTTTTTTTTTTTTTTTAAATATTAAACATAAAAAATTCTGAAACCCTTACATGTTAATGATCATTAAAATTAATTATTAATTAGGTTATTAAAAAAAAAAAAAATAGAATAATTTTTTTATAAATTTGTCTCTTAAGGATTGACAAAGTCCTTTTTAAAAGGTTCATATAAGCATTTTTTTTTTTTTACATTTTTAATAGTAAATTGTAATTTGTATGATAATTATAAAGTTTATATTTTTGCTATGTGAACATGTTTTAGAGACACATACACCTACTCCCTACATACATGCATATACATATGTGTGATTTAGATGTTGGAGAAAAATTCATTTATTTCAGGATTTTATTTAATGAATATATTGTTTTAGATAGGAGGATTTAATTTTTCGGTTCAATAATATCCGGCTCATATATACATACCTATATGAGTATTTTATAAAATAATTATGTAGAATAAATTTCTATATTTTAATATAGAATTTAATAATTTATATTATTTAATTTTAATTATACAAGATTTTATAATTTAATATGAGTCTTTCTATATAGAAAATAAAAATTGGAAGAAAAAATTTATTTTTTTAAATAGTTCTAAATAAATTTATGTGAAATATAAATTGAATATTAAACGTGTACATGGAAGTTTTATCAAATAAATATTGTGAATGCTCTGACAAAATTTTCCCTAATTGAATTAGAAGGGTATATTAAAATTGAGGCAGTAAAGCAATATATTGTAATATATGAATTATTAAAGATTTAACGGCATTTGAGAAGTAAAGAGAACGATATCAAAGTTTTTGCTATAAAAGGGTAGCACTTTTTAGAAAAACTTACTTTGAGGCGTGGGGTTCCGAGGAGAAGAAAGGAATAAATTTGAACCAAATTAAAGACTTTGCCTACCTTGAGGGCAATGCTAATAAACAATATAAACATCAATGCAGAATTTCCGAGGGGAAGAAAAATTTTGTTCAGTCGATAAATATACAATTAATTAGTTGATATCAGTACAAAATTTATGCAATTTTCCCCTTCTAAAGTGTGTAAAGATGTGGTACAAGAGGTGGCATATTTTAATATATTTTAATATAGCAAAAAGAAGTGAACGAAGAACATACGAACAGAATAAAAGTAATATAAGCAGATTTTAGAATTTTTTTACAGTTCTATCGAATATTTGTAAGTACTTAAAGAACTATTTTCAGGAAGGTGAGCTTTAAAGCGCCGGAGAAAGACAAGATATTGCATCTCTTTTTTTCCACCCTGTAAGGCATCGAGGCTTTTAGGCACTTTTCGCGTCCACCTATAGGATATAGGAATCCTTTTGCTCACCTACATTAGCAATATATCTATTAGCCCCTGACAAATTGCGATATTGCAGCCATTTCAAGTCTCGAGATCATCAGAATTACAGTCACAAAGCCCCTTCCGAAACATCTCAATCGCAGACGAGCCACCACCTCGCAATTATACAATAAGTGCTTCACCAGTTCTCTTCCAGGCACATGCGACAGATCTCCCTCTCTGTCTTTCAAATCCTTTTCAGGAGGACAATCAAGAGGTAGTATCCAGTGAGTACACGTACCGAAAGCCTCAAATCTGAACGACCAAATGTGGCTATAGTTCTCGCCCTTTTAATTCCAAATGAGATATAAATTTTTTGAAGTGAGATAGAGAAATTTTCCCAAATGTCGACCTTGACCAATTCCTCCCAACCATTCAAGGATTCATTCTCCTTAGCACCTTTGGTGTGCAAAACATCGGCCTAACGAATATTTGACGCTCTTCTCCGGGCGAAACCATCAACTCTCTTATTTTCGTCTATATCGAAATGTTCCGCCACGCAAGTTAAAGTTACCTAAGGTACTGGAATAATCTACTTCATTTCCTTCAAGGAAGGAAATTAGGAATTTTTTTTTAATTTTTCTTTTTTAAAACATTAAAACATTCATAGAATCAATATATAGTTTAATATAATTTATAATAATATAATTTACGATATTAATTCAAAAAAATTACAAATTCCTATATTGAATTTTAAGAAAAAGAAAAAAATGTTAATTGAAAAGGACCTTGAAATAATGAAAGGAAAAAAATAAGTCGCATATATTTTTTATCAACAATAATAAGGAAACCATCTCAAATATTATAACGCAATAGTAAATATTTGTAATTTTATAAAACACGAATTTGAATATTTTTCATATATGTATGTACATATATGTATGTACACACACTACGTATCCAACATATAAGCAAAACAGTAAATAAAATTATATTCATACATGGATATAGGCTTGATATACATGCTATAACACCGAGTATGTGCTTATTTTCTGTACA